TGCATCCTGAGAGCGGCTCCCTGATGCGCCAAAATTATATACAATATTAGAATGTTTAAAGGAGTGGACACGAAAATCGCGGGAGCGAAACACATGTTGCGGGAGCAGGCGGCAATGGCCAGAGATTCAGCGGGCGCAAGATTAAGAAAACAGCCAAATCCCGGACATTTTGGGCAATTAAGAAATCCCGGTCGGATGCATTTTTGTAGGTTCATAAAGAGGACATGTCCGAGGAAAAGAGGACGTATGGTCACCCTAGTATACGACAATCAGCAGAAGTGAGAGAAAAGTGTTTATTAAGTTTGAAATATGGATATTTTTCTTACAAAAACGCATGGATTCGCTACAGGAGGCCTTTATTCACCCCCTGGAGCTGTGTGAGGCACGTTTTATTATGGATGCGCGCGCTTTATTTGACGTGTTTTGGACTGTTGAACAGAAACACCTGCCCACTGCAATGATAATGGTAATAATAAAGTCATATACACCTAGGATGCCTTGAGGGTGAGTAAAACACAGGCTAATTTTTTTATTCATTTTTGGGTGAATTAACCTTTTAATGGTGTCTACTGTTGATTTGGGCACCATTGACCTTCATTGTGTGGGCAAAAAGAGTTTTTGGGTGAGCTATCCCTTTAAGTATTAATCTGAGTAAAATGTATTATGTTATCATGTCTGTTCCTCACACAAAGCGATTGTATGAATTCAGAAGACTAATGTAGCAAGCAAGTTGTATATATTACTTTTATGATGTTTCATGATGCAGTAAAATGATGACAGAAATGTTTTGCAACATTCAAATGTCTTAAATATTAAGCAGCACAATTGTTTTCAACATTGATAATAAACAGAAATAATTCTTGAGCAGCAAAACAGCATATTAGAGTGATTTCTGAAGGATCATGTGACACTGAAGACTGGAGTAATGATGCTGAAAATTCAGCTTGCATCACAGAAATAAAATACATTTTAAAATTTGTTCAAATAGAAAACAGTTGCAATAATATTACTGTTTTTACCACAAGTAAATGTCTTTCATTTTGCCTCACACAAAGCTATGATATGAATTCAGAACAACTATGTAGGACACAAGTTGTAAGATATTCTTTTTATAGTGCTTTAATTTAGTCATTATGAGGGTTCAAATCCTTAAACGTTGTTATGAGAAGTAGTAATAGTGATTCTTCCCTTAGCTAGCACCATGAATCTGTATTATAGCACTTTCTCTGACATCTTTAGAGCGGTAGAACAATAGGAGCGAGAGGCCCAGACATGCCTGCTGTCCTGGAGATGATCTGGAGGGCTGTGTGTGTGCTTGCTTGTGAGTGTTTAGTGTGGAAAAAAGCAGATGACGGTGAGCTGGGAAGGAAAACAGTGCAAATTCCTGGAGATTTCTGACCGTGCCATGAGGATGGGGGCTTTACAACACGTGAGGCGAGCAAAACGGATTCGGATGTGAAAAGTGAGCCAGTGTGTGATGTTATAGATTATGATGGGTGTTTTTCAGAAGGGGATGAAGGAATTTGAGAAGGCATGTGAGAGCAGGAGGTGCTGATAAAGGAAGGAGGATAGCTGTAATGCTTGACGCGAACGCCGTCTCCCTGGAGTTAACATTCTCTCATGCTCACTTTAACACAGAGTCATGTTCTCCCACACAAACACAGCGTTCATAAGCAAATTCAACCGTACACGTTTATGAATTCTTAAAGAGAGCAAGCGAGTCAAATGCTTCAAAGTGGAATGCTTTAAACATGCTCCTGAAAGTCATGAAAAACATGTGCAGGTTAAAGTTTACACTAAAATAAAGTTTTGCGTTAAGAAAATTTCGCCAATTTGAGGATTTTTTGTAT